GCAGCGCAGCAAATACCCAGCTGGAAAATTTGGACTTCTGATAAGTCAACAATGTATTTTAGTGTCACCACAACCATATTTACTTAGTGGTAGGAGGATTCTGGTGTGTTGATAGTGTTGTCATTAAGAGGTAGGTAAAGCATGTTGAGAGTCAAGTAACGATAGAAGTTGATATTTTAGTAAACATTGTTAATTTCTGCTAAAGTTAAGTTTGCTTAGATCAGGTTTTTTCATGGACCTAATTTAAAGGATTTTATTTTTTTAGCTTAGAAGAAGTCATTTTGAACATTATTGGAAAAAACTTACTTCCATCGCCAGGACTTGCTCTACCTTTTAATCGTTGCGGAGCTTTTCAGGAAAAAATCCTTTTAAAAAACAAAAAAATTTAACCTTTTATATCATATGTTAAAATAGTGTGATAAAAATGTGTTAATTATTGCAATTAAATCCGTAATTTCGTGGATTCTTGGTGGCTACATATTAAAATGAATAACCGCGATGTCGACTTTCAAATTGCCATATAAGTCAAGATCTACCGAAAAGAATTTTAATTATTTCAGCCTCGAATTTTGTTGACGGAAAATTGTTTCGGGAGAATGTTGCATAATTTTAGGCATTCAGATTTTGAGTGTTAAATTTAAAAAAACTTAAAGTAAACAAGTAAGGAAGGGCTAAGTTCGGATGTAACCGAACATTTTATACTCTCGCAAAGTCAAATGGTATACTCGTTTGAGATTTCTTTGTGGATTGGCTGATATTTTCGGTAGAAGGTCAACTATGTGGACCCCAGACATATTTAGTGCTTAGGGGCTTAAACAGTTTTGGTTCGATTTAGACAATTTTTGGTCATAAGAAATAGAGTCTTGTATCTTATTGCGGAGCTTAGTTATGGCAATTTATTTGTTGTTGAATAATGGCGTTTTGTGGCCGTGTCTGTGGTCCGATTACGCCCATCTGCAATACCAACCGTCTCACGGTACCAAGAAACATGTCTACCAAGTTTCATAAAGATATCTCAATTTTTACTCAAGTTAGAGCTTACCGGCTATTTAAATAAATTGTGAGTTTTGCAAATATTTTTGAACTTTTTCAAAAACTGTTAGAACTCCGAAAGAGTTTTTTAGAGAAAAATGCATTAAAAGATTTAAGTTAACTTTTATGTTAGTATAGATCGGAATAAATGGGTACTCTGGTATATTTTAACTACCGTATAAATCTTGATATATTACAATTTTAGACTGGAATACACGTTAAGTTGGTATTTAAGTGTTTCAGATTAAGATTTTTCTACAGGGTAGCTACACACATTAGCACACATGTTATTTCAAACAAATCCGCTTGTAGGTACTTTTCATTTGTTTTATCTCTCACTCCCTAGCCACGATACCTTCATTGAGTCGTAGCTAGCTTTTGTTGATATTAAAGCGAATTGGTGCGTGTGTGTGCATTTGCTTATAGGATTTTACATATGTGTGGCATTCTTACTGTAGTGTGGTTTTAGCTTTGGCTTCAGTTGAGCCGAAGCAAAGCACAAAACCTCTGAGGGCGGTTTAAAATTGAGATAAGGTTTATGCCTGAAAAACTTTTCTACGTATGCTAAGATACAGATGTTTGCACATGCACACCTACACCGGCACAAGAACACATTCACATTGGCGAGTATGCACATGCAATATCTTTTAAATACAAATATAAACACACATACTAGTAAGTAAACACAAACAAATATAGGGAAAGAAAAATCTTCTCTTTTTTGTGACTCGAAGCGTTCTACTGGGGAGGCATGAACGGAAGAGTACACGGATAAAGGCTCATTCCTACTTACGTTGCCACAAGGATTACACACACAGCGCCACAGGCAGTATTCGGAGAGTTTATGTTATTGGCTGTTGTTGTTGTTCCAGATATCTTACTGCTAATTGAACAGGCGCTGCTGCTGCTGCTTGTTGCGCCAGCTATTTACGAATGTAAACTCCAGTTGCTAGTCGAAGTCAAAATGCTCGACTTTGATTCTAATTGCTCTAATTGTTTCACTAACGCGTCGGCTTTAAGAGTATGTAGACACAGATTATTGAATTCTTGTTTTTATTTGAATGGCTTACTGTGGAACAATGTAAACTGTGAACTCAGAGCTCTTATAGATCTTTTCGCCGGGTGATTTTCGAAAAACTTAAAGTTTCAGTTTATTCAGAGTTTAATGCGCTTGCATTCTTTCTCATGTGTACATGCAACTTCATAAGCGTGGGTGTGTGGCATGTACAAATGTACTTGTGTACCGTTGAAAAAGCAGCCTTCTATGTGTGGCACTAATTCCGGCTAAAGAGCCTGCAGGAATTTTAAGCTTGCCACATTTTTCGTCACGATGAAATATTATTATGTTCTCCAGGAGGAAAGAAACATAAAGCAAAGGATAGATACATATGGATTAATTCAAAGCTAGAATTTGCTTGGTGCAACAAAACTCTGCTCGCTACTGCCTTCAGCAACATTGTACTATATCAAAAATGATGAGAGCAGCTTTAGAGTTTTCCTGTAACCACTCGATTTCTGGTGGTTGGCTTAATTATGGATGACTAAATGAAGTGAAGTAGATAGAGGAGAAGGCATGGATGTGATCTATCAACTCTGAGAAAAATTAATTTGTCTATGATTTATTGGAAGTCTCAATAACAATATATTAGTATCTCTTTCCCATAGATAACTCAAGCTTTCATAAAGAAACTAAAACAAAATTTAATACGTATCGCACCTCTGACAATCCCAAAGTATACGAAACGATTTGTTGTCCTTTTTTGTTGTAGCGGCGGAAAACATTCAACATAAAACTTTTCACCGGGTTGGTAGACTTAGGGTGCATAAAAATTATGGTCTAGTTTTCAGACCCGTCTCACGGCGATAAAAGCCGATAACCATTCTTTACTTTATACGTAGTAAATGGTTATTGAAAAAATAGAAAATTGGACTGCTGAAAACTTTCTTTTTGATGTTAGACTGATTTTCGAGCTTTGACAATCACTTATGCAATATATTCTACCAAGTGCTTTTGCAAAAATTAGCAAAAACAAGAAAAAACGTTAACTTCGGTTGCACCGAAGCTATAATATCCTTCACAAATACAAAGGTTCCTTACAAGAATGTTAGCTTAAGAACTGAGAGACTAGACAGATATACGGACATGGCTAAATCAATTTAGCTTATCATGCTGTTCATGTATGTATATATTTTATAGGGTCTCCGACGATTTTTTTTTGAGTGTTACAAACTTCGTAAAAGACTGCAAATGCAGTACTTTAAGGTCAAAAAAGTGTCTCTCAAAACATCACCAAGCTATAAATGTGGCAGGCGTGACTTTTGAGGTTATACCAAATTATACCTTTAGGGAAATTTATCTGGGTTAGCATTCTTGCATTCTGCACTAGTTTATAAAACAAAACTAGGACTACTATGCGTGTTTCGTCAGCAAACTATAATAATTACTTAATGAAATGCACCGTTGGGCGTGCTTTTTGAAGTATTTCACACCTTATATATTTTTACAATATCCGACAGTATTTTCTATTCGATTCTTCCCAAATTTACCCCATCCTTATTTGTTGCTATAGTTTAGCTCGGAAAGCAAACTTATCGCTATCTGTAATTAATATTTATATATAAGTACACTCATGAACCATATTTTTATAAAACTTTCGGCGATCATGTTTGGCAAATCTCCTGCGCCATTTTCCCTTTGGTCACACACATATCTTCGTAGCGGATGCAATCTTTGACTCGAAATAACAACGACTACAAATTTAGCTGCAGGCATTTCTTTTCAGCTTCAGCTTTCTTTTGAGTTTGGCAAACTTTTCCAACTGATTTCTCTATTTGAATATTGTGGGTTTGCTTCATAGTTTATTAGTTTATTTTCGATAATATTTTGTTTATTTTATAATTTCGATCGACTGGAATAAGTAAATATTGGTAAATGTAAAAACACATATATAGAATAGATGTCTGTAGTATGTCTAATATTTGTGTCAATAAGTCGTATAGTTTTCTTTAATTCTATATATGGAGAAGGTGCTGCAAGTTTAGGTAGCAAAGCTAGTGTGACCGCCTAAAAAATCAGATTTTTGGGAATTTTAAAGAAAGCTATGTACACACAATTATTGAATATACAAGTATTATATACCAAAAATTAAAAAAATAGTTTTCGCTATTTTAAAATTTCCTAAAAAAATGCTGCAGCAGTGATTGCTGTCTTCAGCGAGGTTGAAAGCACAAAAATTAAAAAAAAAAGATTAGTAATCTCCATACGATTGTTAAAAAAAAATTTTAATCCCCCACTCTTACTCTTATATAATATTTAATACTTGTTGCATGTGCCACACTGTGTTGACTGTCAAAGATTTACATAACTTTTAGCACAGACAAAAAAAAAAAATCAAAGCTAAAAAGTTAAGCTTTTTTGCGCTAACAAAATAAACCGTATAAAAATAGCGACCCAAACCTCTTATAGCTTAAAGGAATACACGAAGACCTCGCTGTGGCTGCACACTGTAGCCCACACGATGTTGTTGTGTTTGTATATTCGCGTTCTTGTTATTGTTACATACCGCTGCCGGTACTGCAGCTGCAGGCACTGCGGTATTTTCTTCAGCGAACCGAACTTAGCGCGCAGAACCTACGCGCCAATGCCACAAGGCCGGAGTGTGTGGTACGCGAGAAGGATGGAATCTTGAAGTGTGTGCGAGTTAGTGAGATGGCGCGGTCGTAAAAAATGTAAAATATGTCAAATCGCATGTGAATTGAGCGCCCATCAGTTTCTGAAGTTTTCAGGCTAAATCCACAATAAAAGTTATTTCGATATGCAATGGGTAGTTCATTTCGATAAGGTTAAGCGAAATAGGTTAATAAAGATAGCAGGAATTGAATTGGGCACATTAGAGCATTGTTCGTTAAATGAACTCCACAGTTTTGACACAAAAAAAATACGTTTTACATATTTCTTATTTTTGCAGAAAAAAATGCGATATGGACCGCGAACGCGAAAGAGATACAAAGTCCCTCGAACCGCGCGATCTGTCATCTACGGGGCGTATCTTTGCCAGAGGCGACATTAAAATAAGGTAGACGTCAATAGATACAAATTCGCCGCAACTTACTAAATTTACTGTTTCACCTTTCAGCGCCTCACCTACTGTCTCACCGACGATCTCGAATTCCTCCTCGCCCACGCCAACACCGCCAGCCAGCTCATCGGTGCCCCCAATTGGTTTGCCGACCAGCGTGGGTGGTGGAGCATCCAGCGCTCCTGGTAGTACTTCTGCCGCCAGCGCCAGTTCCTATTTGCATGCCAATCACAAGCCCATTACCGGCATACCATGCGTAGCAGCTGCTTCGCGATATACTGCGCCCGTACATATTGATGTAGGTGGCACGATTTACACCAGCTCATTGGAAACGCTCACTAAGTATCCAGACTCAAAGTTGGCCAAACTCTTCAACGGCACCATACCAATTGTGTTGGACTCGTTGAAACAGCACTATTTCATTGATCGTGATGGGGGCATGTTTCGACACGTACTGAACTTCATGAGAAACTCAAGACTTTTAATTGCCGATGACTTTCCCGATCTCGAATTGCTACTCGAGGAGGCACGTTACTTTGAAGTGGAACGTAAGTAAACAAATTTAAATCAATAAAATTTGTCATTATATAATACGACTATAAGCGAAAAAAAACTTGTTTGGCAGTAAACAATCATTGACTACTCGCGGGGCTTGTAAGCATTAAAGGCAAGTGTCTGCGAACGTCTACGAGGTTTGTTCAAAAAATACCGCGAATTTTCGCGGGTTACGTGTATCGCATCTTCACCGATATCTCCTTACCTACTAGCATAAGTTCATTATATCCAAGGGTAATTACTTTGAAGGGAACAAAATAGATATTCATAAATAAATACACTTTCTTAAGAAAAAAATCGCAATATGTTTGAACAAAGCATGTGCCATGCCCATTGTCCAACTTTCTAAAATAAGATGTTTACTTGATTGATCATATTTTGCATTACTGATGTTATTCCTTATGTATACAGTTACATTTTTATTAAATACAAACATGACCGTTATAAAATAGGTGGGCATGGTTTTTGCCTTAATCCTTTATTTCCACAGTTTCACACTGTATTATTTGGAATCAGAAATTTGCGAGATATTTACGTTACACCTAGAGGAGTCACGCCCACTTTTAAACATTTTCAATCATACATGACCCTTCTTACTGTGATCCCACAGTGATCTCCTTTATTAAATTTGAAATTTCCAAATTTGATTTTCTGTGTGGGGGTTGAAGCCGGAACCATAATAAATAAATATTATTTTTTATTAACATACAATACCTCTTTTTTCCAGTTATCACCTGTTCAGGTGTACACCAATAGGAAACACATTTGTTTTAATATTAGATAGAAACTGAGATTAAACTAAAAAATAGTAATACAGGACGCCAACGTTTTTTTGCGAAGCTTAAGAGACTTGACATTTAATTTTAATACATCTCTTGATTTAGTCCCTTGAATTGCGAAGCTTCTAGATATCTAAGAAGTGTTCTCGACAAGGCCGGACATAATCAAAGGAGGTATTCCAGTATCTCATGGCTACTTCTCTTCACGTTGTGCTAGTGTCATCCTTACTTATTTATACGCATCCGGCTCGCCTGGGTACCAGTAATTTGTGACCTGTCATTAGGCCAACAATGGTCCTGCAGCCTTTGCGAGATTTATTTCCTTCGGTGCCCTTGCACATGATCATGGCGATCCTGCACGTCCTTCAGGCATTCCATTTCCCCTGATCCACCCTTTCGGTACAGGTTCGGTAGCCAAACGGATAGAGCTTTTGGTAGTCTCATCAGTTATTTCGTTTACCGGAATGTCCTTGTGCCCTGGAACACAGTATATATTCAGCCGCTTTCCGGAAGCCACCACATCTACTTTCCGCTTCTAAAAACAATATCTGACGTAAAACGATGTGAGGTTATTGCTTTAAATGCCATCGACGACACATATATTAATGTTCTTTATGTTATTTCCTGAGTTGTGAGCTAGCTCAACAGCTTTCTTAACCGCAAAGACTTCTGTCTGAAAGATACTGTAAAATTCTGGAAGCTTGAAGGGTCGCCTGAGATCTAGCTCCACGCAATAGCTGGGCCTCCCACTTTATCCGCCATTTTTGATTCATCCGTGTGCATAGCTTTGTAAGTTCCGCTGACGGCTCCCTTGCGCCATCCACCCTCTTCTAGTGTGACTCCCAGATAATTATTAGTTTTAGATACACAAGCGTACGAGTTTAAACATATTGAATTATTCTAATATTAATGTATGCATTTTTCTCACATTCAGCGATGATCAAACAATTGGAGAGCATGCGCAAGGATCGCGTACGCAATGGTAATTATCTAGTGGCGCCACCAACACCACCGGCACGCATCAAAAGCAGCCCGCGCACCAATTCCTCCCCCGAATACAATTACGAAGTGGTCGCTTTGCATATATCACCCGACCTAGGTGAGCGCATCATGCTCTCCGCCGAGCGCTCACTACTCGACGAAGTCTTTCCCGAAGCAAATCAGGGCACACAGACCAGCCGCAGCGGCGTGTCGTGGAACCAGGGCGATTGGCGGCAAATTATACGCTTTCCATTGAACGGCTACTGCAAGTTGAATTCGGTGCAGGTGCTGACACGCCTATTAAATGCCGGCTTCACCATCGAGGCGAGCACCGGTGGCGGCGTAGAGGGGCAACAGTACTCCGAGTATCTGCTGGTGCGCCGCATTCCAATGTGATAGTCCTCTGGATGGCAATTTATTTACGTTAAAGTAATTGTTTAAATTTTAAGGAATTTTTAGCGATAAAAATCAAATATTGAAATAGTTCTTGAAGAGAATCAAGTAAATAAAGTAATTTCAAGGAAAAGTATGGCATCTAAAGTGAATATGTAGAAAATTAAGATGAAAGTTCAATTTGAGATTTGAGATTTTTAGAGGCGACGATCGCACATACACACAGCGCATTCGCACGCCCTCTTGTGTAGGAGTATGCGCTCGTGTGTGTGTGAGGTACGTTTGTTGGTCGAGATGCAATATGCCATGCATTTTTAAATAGCCCGTAGTCTAAGGATTTGCAATACATATGTATGCGTATACTCAATGTAACTAAATTAATTAATTAGTGTTTTAAGCTCCTAGAGTTAATTGAATGAAATACAAAAATTATTTATTGTTCTAACTTTTTTCATTTGACAAAATTTAGTTTAGACGAAAACATGTTGAACGCACTGATTTGCTTGGCGAATTGATTTATTGTACAATTTTAGCTTAAAACGTAAAATTATTGAAATATTGTTTACACTGAACGCTGCTGGAACTTCCGTTAATTTAATTTTAGGAGAAAATTTTTAGAAATCCGATTTTAGCATTTACATGAAGAGATTTTGAGGAAGGAGCTAAGTGAAGGTCGATGAACTTATGTACACGCGTGCATGCACTTCTTTGTGTGTATGTGTGTGTGTTGCATTTGTATTAAACGTTTTATGAATGTAACTTTTGCAGAAAATTAAATACTACAATACAGATATAACGTATTGCAATAAATAAAATCAACGCTCATATATACAAACATAAATATACATACATACATCACATTAGATGTTTTGAAACGTGGTACTCAATAAATTAATTATGTAAAATTAACTACATTAAATGGAAATACTCGTACTTTTGGCTTTCAATTCGGTCAATGGTCTCAAAGTGTAAGTCAAATACATATATTTAGAAAAAGGAAATAAAGGTGGTCTCTGGGTTCACACATAACACTTCCCCGATTAGATGGTATACGGAATTTAAAAAAATTAATTAATTTTGATCTAATCTTCGAAACATTTTGATACTCAGAGTTCCTTATTGCCATTAGGGGTGACGAAAATCAGTTCCTTAGTGCGGACAATGAGTTGTTAAAGTACAAATCCGGCGTTTTTTGACGAATTGCTTCTCGCAGATGTCTCTAAATATTGTATTTTGTTTATATTTTGACTATTTGGCAAGAGTTCCTAATGATTCTTAACTTCGTTGTGGTCCATGAAAACAGTCGGTAACATCTTCTTTGCTTGGTCTTGGCTGATGCTGTGTTCGGTTGGTTCACTTCATTAGAGCCCCTATTACGGTTACTAAATCAACTGCATTTAGGTTGAAGTTTTAACATTCGGTATTAGCGATATCAACTCAATCCGACAAAAAAAAAAAACGATTGAAATATTGCCGAACTTCTACTTTTTGGTGGTATTACGGTTTTCAACTCTATGCTAGTGCAGTTGACAAGAGTATCAAAAAACTACAAACATTTGTAGTTGCAGTCTATTTCGGTATAGCATTGATAGAAAATTTAAAACAGTTAAATAGACTGTTAAGTAACTAAATATTTTAAATAAAAAAAGTTTTCCATACAAGGACTTGACTGATCAGTTTGTATGGCAGCTGTATCCTATAGTAGTCCAATATTACCGCTTCAGACAAATGAACAGGTTGGTGGTAAGAAACGGACATGTGCAAACTTTCAGATCGATAACTCAAAAATTGAGGGACTAGACAGACAAAAAGTTAGACATGGCTAAAGCTCTTCAGTCACTTAGGCTTTAATCAATTGCACACAAATCTGGGATTGTATAATATTTAAAACCTCCTTAACAACTATAGATATCGTAGATTGCGTCTGCTAAACAAGGAAAATGAGAGTTGTACAACTTTTTAATACAGAAGGTACTTCTACCGTTCCCACTCGTTTCTGGAAAATTTCCTTCATCTCATTCAGCAAACAACAAAATGCTTCTTATTTAAAATAGTACAACATTTATAAATCCGGAGGCAAAGTTATTAAAAAGGCATGATATAGTCAATAAATCGTTGGCCCCAATATTTTCGTTACTGTAATAAAAATCAGAACCAATGTTCACTTTAATATTTATTCACCCTTTAGGGAGCAATAACTGAATTGCTTTTTTACAGTACTGGGTAAATAAAATCAATCAACATCTTTATATATCGGTGCCCATTGACAGTTGACAGTTAACGGTAACGTAAATCGTTTTATTTAAATACGTATGGCCCGACAATACACCCTGATGAAACTGCCACCATGGTTCTAGGTGAAGTTCCGTCTCATAGATTATTTCTGGATTTGATTCACTCCATTAACCGTAATTTTGCTTCTTTACATTTCCGTTTAGATCAAAATGGGCCTCATCAGACATACACAGGCAATTTATCAAGTTATTCTCTTCACTAGAGAAATTAAACCCTCTAGACCGGCTTCTTATTTGAACTTTGTACGAAAACAAGTTTAAGTCATCATAAATTATCCGTTGTAATGACCGTTTGCTAACTCTAAGTTGCGCCGATAATTTGCGAGTCGAAACTCTTGGACTTGCCTGAATTGACGATGCAACAGCCACGATTGTTCCTTGGATACGAAAATACGGATCTCAATGGTAAATCTCAGATTCGGCAAACATGTTTACCAACCTCATAATGGTCTATCTACTCGGGAGAGTGACGCCAAAATCCCGTCTGAATTCCCTTTGGACGGAAATGACGGACTGCAAAGAATGGTACCGCTACACTATACAAACCTTCTTTTTGGTATCCCAAGCATTAATTTTTAAAAATTTAAATAATATCCTGCCAAATAAAAAAAGTAAGTCGATTACTTACAATGAAAAAAAGTTATTGCGGTTTGTTTTTTAGCACGATTCGTGAGCCACTCTGAATATTCTTTTAATTACGATAGAGGAAGATTTTTAGCGCTAAACAATATTGTTGTTGTAAAAGGAACTCATTACTTTTCTTTAAGATATCCCACAAATTTACTGATATTAAACTCGTTACTCTCCAGCGAATCGAACAAACTATACCAGATGCTCAAACAAACGGGCAGCACTTGTGATGTAACTCTGCGCCAACATTTCTTCTGACGAATGCGCAATAATGTTATGATTCTTTCCTAGTGGGGAAATTCTTTTTTTCGCTTTAAAACCCTTTATTTTTTTTACTTAAATACTATAACTTCGTAATATTGAGCATTAAAGATCGCATACCCTCTCGCATGAATTCAACTCGATAACTTTGTTGTTACATGTAATTCTTTTAACAAGAGAGCAGAAGCGAGCAGAGAAATGGCGAATCGAAGATAGCTGAAATTTATTTTCCGTATAAAGTTAGGCATAGGTGTTTACTACCTATGGTTAGGTAGTTTCTCGTATCATTTTAGAGTGAAAATTAGCACACCTTAAAATATTATTTAAGCTATGTTCTATTTCTTCATTCACTATTGCGTTATCTATTGTAAGTGAAAGAATCTGATGGAATTTAAAACTATATTACTTGACAAGTAAACGTGGCTGTCGCGTGTCTGATTTAGATTTTTCTTTCGGCGAAAGTCGTTCAAAGCAGCCGTAAACCGAATACTCGGCCAGAAATGTTTTAAGCAGTATTTGGAATTTTTTTTTATCGATTACTTCGGTTACATCAAAACAGTTAATATAATTGAATCGATTGGATATTGGGATCAAAGTTAGGCCAAATTGTTGGTCTAAAGACTTTACAGTCCGTACATAGAATATATGTATATGTACCTCGAATAGTTTTAATTGTTGGGTGAACAAAATTATTATACTCTGTGCGACATAAGATTTTAACCGTATATACATTTCATGACGCTAAATAGAGTATTTTCACAAAGTTTCGCTAGGAGAGAATGACAAGGAACATGATTTGTTGAAGTGAGATTTTCCGAGGAGTTCAGTACTGCCAGAGTTAGATATCACTTATTTTGATGTACGTCGGTTAGTTTAATTTAATTGCGGTTGGAGTCATGTCCACTTTTCCCTGACTTTTGTGCCAAAACTATATCAACTAAAAAATATTGCTCAACATTAGCCCAGACATGGTCCTAATTTGTATTACCATTAAACTACAGCCTGCCTCAAAGGAATAATAACGGCACATTTTTAGTTTAGGCATAAAATATAATACATCTCATTTCATTCTCTCACTGCGACACCTAGCGGCTAATAGTTGCATATTGTTGTAAGAAACACAGGGCGGTCTAAGCTTATTTGCGCATAGTTTCCGGATGTTCTTTTTCACTACTTTAATATTTTAGTGGAAATTATTTGGGGAATAGGCTCTAGCTGAGCGAACGTGCCAAAAGTAGTTTGCACGATTTGAAAGTGGTAGTTTTGGCTTTGAAGACGAAGCACGTCCTTTGCGGTCAAAAGAGTTTGAAGGCGAGGAACTGGAAGCATTAATCGATGAAGACTAAAGAAGAGCTCGCAGAACCTTTGGGAGTCACTCAAACATCCATTTCAAAACGTTTAAAAACAACCGGATATACATTAGAACAGGTTATGAAAAATTGGCTTGATTCATTTTGGCGCAGTTCTTTTGGGACGGAGTTCACCAACTGCCAGAAAGATAAGACAAAATTATAGCTTCAAATGGGCAATTCTTTGAATAATACTAAGGTTCATGTTTATTTTTTAAATAAACTTTCAAATTTCCAAAAAGAGATACAAGAAAAACATTAACGTCGGCACCAAAGCTATATGTTAATACCCTTCACAACTGCATTTCTAAAGCATAAATACGTATAAAAAGATCTTGATCCTAGAAAGTAAGAATTTTGGAAAATTACTTAATCTCGCCAATAACTGCATTCCAAAATAGTTTATTGTCAGCGCGCATATCAAGACCGGGGTCCCAATCCATGCTTGTAGCTTAAAAGCCGTTAAGTGCTGCGTTAATAAAAGTAAAATTAAAATGTCTGTCATTATTTTAAAACAAGGTGTATTTCAATATAAACTCTCGTTCTTAGCCCATACATACAAATTTTTGATGGCTCAAATGTCGCCAAATCAATAAGGTTATAACTTATGGATGGTTTAAAGGAGCGCTTTTATTTGCAATAAAAATGTATTGTTCATCTCCGAATAGAGGGTGGTTCGCACGGTGCTATTTTGTTGTTATATGATATTTTGATATTTATTTCATGGGTAATATACATGCTGCGCTCTTAAATTGAGAAAAAATGAACTGTAGAATTATTTGATCGAGTTTCAACTGAAAGATAACTTTTAAGTGGAACTCATTATGTTTTCTGAACAAACAAATTTTATTTAAACACACTTGATGAGTTCACTAAGGATAGTGATTGTTTGATATGAGTAGGGTCTTTCTACAAAGGGGAAATTGTAAGAGTTCTTTTATTACATAGAAGACGGACTTATCATAGATAACTATATTTTAATGTTGGATGATATGCTTGCTTAAAATGTAGTGGAAAACGTTAAAATTGTGCTCAAAATACAAACATGCTGGACAAATATCCATCTTTGAAAAAAAACCAAAAATATTTTTCTTCTCGCTTTACTGCTTTTTCTTCTCACTACTTGCAATATTTTGATTTCAACTCCACTAAAAATATTAAGGTATGGTGGAACTGTTTATGTGAATGAGCGACAATATTTAGCTATAAAGGAGCTAACAAATAAATTTTTCAGATGGTCTGAATCTGGATAGTTACACACTTTCAAAAATTAATTGACTCGGTCCCAACAAAGTATTCTCATATGCTTTAATTAATAATAAGGAATAAACTCAAATATTGTATAAAACCTTTTGTTTATTTAGTTTTCGACGAAACGCATTTTTGACTTGGTGGCCAA